ACCTGGATTACTGAGATGCATCAGGAGTCAGGACGAAACGTTTCATTAGAGAAGAACCCGTCCAGAAGACCTATACAATTTTTTTCTTTTTGATTTTTTACCTGGATTACTGAGATGCATCAGGATATCATTTTTAGGTTTTAAATGAAATGAAATAAAAGTAAAAGTAACAATTAAAAAAAATACTTGGTTAAATTACAAGTCCTCAAAAAGTAACTTAAGTATTAAGTAGTAAATGTACTACTTAATATTACCATATTAAATCAGAAAAAAAATAATTTAATGCTGATCACTCACCTCCTTTCACGTCAGTTTGTCTACAGCAGGGCTTTTCAACTGGTGGTCCGCGGGCCACATTCAGCCCGCCAGTGACCAAAGTTTGGCCCGCCAGTTGGTTCTTTCATCTCATAAGCCCAAACCCCCGGTTTTGAACTTTAATTAAGTTCTTTTAGTTCGACACAGACATGTGTGGTATCTACAGAAACATCAGAATCTTGGCTACAAGCTGGTTAAAAAAAAAAACATTTCTACAAGCATCCAAGACAATTAAAACTACAAGCAGTTGAAGATAAAACTATGAAAATGAAAATAATATTTGTTTAACAGTGTGGCAAGTCAATGTCAAAATATTTGTGTTAAATAGGAGGCATAATATGTTTTGTTTATGAGACTGTTTTATTAACACTACTTCTGTATGTTGTATTAACGATTAAATGCAGCAAAATAAACTAATTCAAAGGTAACAGATCTTTGTAATACTTGGTTTATTTACAATGACTTTAATTCTCTGTATTTTAGTATTGGCTGGTGTTGGTTGGCTGCGGCGGCCATCTTTAATAGAGATGAGTCCAACATTTAAGCAGTGATTAACTAATGAATTTATTCAACTGAGTCCACTGGTTCATGAGATATTTTGCTAACAGAATCTTGAAGGCATGATAGAGTCAGTGTTTTCAGTTGTTTCGCATTATCCATCACCGTTTTTTTTTTTTTTTTTTTTTGTAGTTGATAAAATGTCCTTATTCAGCAGCACTCATCCCCAAATGAGTGAGATGAGGGGGTGATGGGGGGGCTTAAACTCATCCTAATAGTGTGTGGTCCCTGTCTGAGTAGAGACACACTCAAAAGTGAAGGCTGAGCGAATACTAATAACACATCTGATTGATGACGATTGTCACGGAGCTAAAAAAAAAAAAGAGGGGGTTGTAGCATAATTAATGACCTCTCAAAGTCCTGAGAAACGTATTTTAAGGAGGGTGTTTGGCTGCAGAGACCCCGTCCTCCCCTGTGTTTACAGTTTTCTTCTTCCCTCCGAGGAGGCTGAAATTCAGTCAAGCCTGTGACAAAATGTTGAAAAGTTCGGGCTTTGTGAGTCCTCGCGGAAAATGAAGTCGCCGAGGCCGCAGGTTGAGTTTGTAAAATGCGGCACAGAGTCACGTCTCGTCGGGGGGGGGGGCTTCTGCTTTAAAAGAGGGTGTAGGGTGGGAGGAAAAAAAAGGAAAACAACAAAGAAAATGACAAAGAAAGACACCTTTATCACATGCCGCCATAAAATTAAGCTGGCTAATCAAAATGAGCAAACATGGAAATCACACAAACATCCTCTGAACTTACTTTATGCAAAAGATCTCATTTTAAAACACTGGCGTGAAAGGCAGCAAGCGGTATGAATGCCTTGAAAAGAAAGCTGAGGCCTTTAATTTCATTAGCATTTAAATTGTTTTTCATGTTTGAGTTCTCGTGACATTTGTGTATTTTAGCTTGGCATTAAAAAAAAAGAAAACAAAATGACTTAATTGTGAAAAACAAAAAGGCCTCTTGGTCTCTGCATCGTGTCATCATCGAACTCTTAACCTTACATCACCCCTCCTCAACCTCCTCTGCACCACAGGACCTGTATTAATAATATGACTTCGGGGGTGGGGGTGGGGGACCGAGAGCTGCTTTGGTGCCACAGTTTAAACCTCTAATGGCAGCCAGTGAATGAATGTATTCCAGGAGGAATCCCACAGGTTGGTCCGTAGGGGTGAGGTCAGCAGGCGTAACCGCAATAACCTCCCACCACTCGCTTTATTGGCCTCCTCCGATTGGGTTTTTATTAAATCTCTGAGATGTGTATTTGTTCTTGCTCACTGGAACCTGAATTTCACTGCTCTTTTTAACATTATAAAGAAGTTTCTTAACAAAAAACTGTTGCATATGAAAAAAAAAAACTAATAAAAGAATCACATTTGAGAAGTACTTTGATACAAGCCGAGAGTGGACGTTTTCTGCAGATAATTTTCCCCCCATGGTTTTCTCAAAATAAAAAGTTAATTACGTAATTATCACGA